CGATCATCAAAACTTAAAATACATTTCGAAAATCAACTAAAATCTGAAGAGAAACACATAATTGAAGCAAAATATCAAAAATATCAAGTCCAAACCAAACGACGACAACGATGTGGCGAAAGAGGAGTATAGCTCAAAGATGAGGAGTAGAGCTAAGAGCATTTGATCGAGGTTCGTTCAAGGTTCCGAACAATCCGAAAAAAATATCAATAGAAGCACAATTTTAGAACAAGAAATCATCATTGAAATATTGAAAATTATAAATCAGAGATGAAAAATATAGTTTGACCTGAGACTGAGCTTCAATGGAAGCTCTTCTTGCTCCAACACCGAGAAAGCACTAGCAAGAAAGGAGAAAATAAATATGATTTGGTTTTTTGGCAGATCTAGGCACATCTGATTTTTCTCTCTCAAATCCATAGTACAAGAGCAATATATTATTTTACACACACAAATGAACTAAAAAAATAACTATTAAATTGAAAAAATTGACAGTTGTCGATTTTTGAGTTTTTTTTAAAGTGTGTTTTATATTTTTTTTTATAAGTGTTTATTAGAGTCTATTTTCTATATTAGACTATAAGATCTAGAGATAACTACGAAAAATATTATACTAAAATTAAAAAAAAAAAAAAAAAAAAAAAAAAAAAAAAAAAAAAATAAGAAATCAAAACACAACTATTGTTCTGAAAATAGTTCAAACAACTCAAAACACACAATAATTATCGTTTAATGTAGTGAGACCAACTAGCTATTAGTTTAATGATACTTCTTAATTTTGAAAGAGATCTCAAGTTCAAAACTTCATATCTGTATTTTAAAAATGTGACAAGAAAAAGATATTATAGGTCCATATTAATTAAGGACAATATAACCAATATAATTTACTAGGTCACTACAATGTTCTACTTTGACATGACGGGGAAGATTATTATACTAGATTGTATTGATTTTAGTCTAATTTTTCATGTGTTTGTGGTAATTTGTTCATGTATTTGGCCTTTTCACTCTTGTATTCTCTTTCCTTTCCATTTATGGAGTTTTGAATGAACATTGATTGATTACGACATAAAATAAAATAAAATTATAGAACTATCTAATTATTCCTTACCAAGTACAAATGAAGAAGAAATAAAACAAAGGGGAAAAAAGATGAATGATTATCCAAAAATGGTAATACAAGATAGGGCAAGCACATAATATATATCCAGAAACATATAAAAATGATTTTTTTTAATTATATATAATAAGAATGAAATATACCTACAAAGTAAGTACAACTATAGGAAAATAATTTGGAAATTGACATTGACACTCCAAAATAGTAACTGTGTGTATTCATCTGGTATATATAAAAAAGGAAACAATTATGTTTAGTAATTATTCAAAACCTTGTTCCTTCGGAAATTTTCCACATTACCTTCACTAAATATTAATTCCTTTAGACAAATATGCTTTGTCACTAGATGGTGTGTCTTCATGGTAGGGGAATCTTCTCGGTATCATTTAAGATGCGTTCTTTGAATATCTTTTGTAATGTTTCTTTGGTTGAATATATCGCTATATGTATATATATATTTTTTTAAAAATTTGGTCTTAAAACCAATATAAAGTTAAATTAAATAAAAAAACTAACAGGTGACAACTTGCATTAGTCTTTATTCTCGTTTTCACAGCTCTCTTCTTGATGGAATCTTCCTCCATTTTGTATGCATTCATATGCTTCCAAGTTGCCTCCTTTCTTGAAAACATTTTCACGCACGCTTTGATTCTAGAATGAGATTTTTCATATTTGATTATGCACTAAAAAGTAATATTGAATATTATAAATTTGGCAAGAGGTGACAAATGGCGGCATGCTTATCCACCCACACCAAAATTTAGTCTCAGCATTATACACACAAGACCAATTCCAACGATCAACACACACCCTGCATTTTCCCAAAGTCTCCGACGTAAGATCTGCCAGTCTCACACATCAGATTCCTATTCCGAATCCCCGAATACCCTCCCCGATCTCAAAATCTCTACCCACAACGGATCAGTAAATACCACCAAACCCCGAGGGGTACATCCGTCGTTCACAAAATTCGAAAGCGACCCAACCCTGAGAGCCCTTTTTAATTCCCAATGCCCCTCCTGTCAGACCCTTCCCCAAAACGTGTCCTCTTTCGTCATTTCCCCGCGCTCGTCCCTCCTCTGTCCTCCAGCTGCGTTTTTTTTTTTCAAAGCTCTGTCCCTTCCTTCTCCGAAAACCCATTTCCATAATTTCCATCTCCGTCTCCAGAGCCAATTTTGACGAGCTAAAAAGGGTAAAATAATCGAACCCAAAACGTTGAACCCATTGAATATTTCGATTTGAATACGTATACATTCAACCCTTCAGAAAATATCAAGTTTCCTCGAAAGGTAAGCTCTAAGCTGAGAGTTAGGCGCTCATTAAACTGCTGAACAACCCTCTCATGCTCTTCCATTGTTGGTCTATTTTCTGATTTGTTTTAACAATAGAAGTTTAATAAATGCACCCATATTTGGGATTTTCGAAACCGTTTTTAATCTTGTTGTTTTTCTCTTTTGAGGTTTTAATTACAGGTAAAGGTCGGTGCTTTTTTGATACATATCTTGTTTATAGGTAGTGTTTGTGTCTCGAAATCAAAACGCTTTGTAAGTTTTCTTTTCGTTTCTTTGTTTTGCTTCTGGGAACACCTGTTTTTCTGTTATTGGGCAAGAAAAAAAGACAAAGTAAGTTCCTTTTGTTTTTTTTGGTGTCCAGAAAAGCAATTTGTTTATTTATTTTCAGTGGTTCTGATTTCTGGGTTATTGTTTTAGGGGCTTTGGCTCTGCTGGTGTCGCCGCCATTAGGAAGACTTCATTTCTTCTTCTCCGGCGTGGTGTTGTCGTTCTGTTTGCTTGAGATTTACGTTACAATGAAGAGAATCTGAAACATATCATACTGCGATTTCTCGTGATATTTCGAAGGTATGTTGAATTGTATTCCACGTAATTTTTTTTTAGTTGAACGGTTAGTGGTCAAATTGAGGTTTGGTTTATGATAATAGTATGATTAACTGCTTGGGGGCTTTTTGGGCCATGATTATGTGCTGGGTTTTACTGAAGTCTTTGCAGGACCAGCATATTGGTCCTCAACCCCTGGTCCATACTTACATAGCGATGATATGGTTTCTGTGCAATGACTTGCTTGGGTGTATTTGTGTGGGACCCCTTTGCTTTGCAATTTCATTGCTAAGAATCGTTCAGATTTGTGGTGTCCGGTTTGTGGGGCTTACATACAAGATCTAATAAGAGAAAGTGCGTACACGGTCATCTTTAACTCCTTTTTGGCATCCATGTGAGGTCCAGATTTCATGTTGAAAATAGCGTCTTTGTTTGGAAATTTACTCGTATTCATATTTCAAAAAGTATAATTTTGAGTAAAATTACCACATTTACTGATCATGTTACTGTTTATGGATCTCACTTCTAACTTGTAAGAGATGTGTTCGGCAATATAATCCGTAAAACACGCGGGTAGCGAATTAAGGTTTAAATAAAAAACATTGTTAAACGTGACATTGAAACTTGAGATTTCTAAATGGTAGAATCTGATTTACACTAGAGACCTGGATGATACATCGTTTTGTTAACATAAAAAAACTTCACAGCATTGAAGCTTTTCTGGGTTAATGCAATGTGTCTCTAACTTTACACATGTGGGGTTGGAATGCAAAAAATGAGGGGATGAGGTTTGTCAGTATATGGGGAGCAGGAGAATGGCAGTGAGAATCAAATTTTTGCCCGTTGGTGTTTAGAATAGTGCATGGTTTGTAAATTTGGCTCAGATCTCTATACGTTTTCTGTACTCTGAAGTATCCAAGGGGGATGGTGTGATAAAAAGTGTTATATGATGGTGTGATTCATGAGGGTGGCTGGACAATGAAAAAGAATCCACCGCTTTGGCTTTGTACAAAAAAATTATGATTGTGCTGTGGAGATGATCCAAAATTCTTTATCAGATTTTCACTATGATGGGTCCCTTTCAGTTCAGATTTCTGATTTTGCAGAGAGTGCTTTTAGGACCTTACTGTTGTTTTAAGTGGGCTGCCTCAGGGAATCCAAGGGATGTTGGTTGTTTTAAAATTAATTTTATTTATTTATAATATATATAAATTTCTGTCTTTTAAATTCATATTTGGTTAAAACATCTAATTGTTTACCTCAATAAACACTTGGATCTTGCTTGAGGAAGGAAGGCTAATTGAGAATGTGTTTTTCGCATTTTGATTTTGGACTTGGAGAAAACACTGTGGGTCCTCCACACATCAACATTTCAGACCCTTTTATTTTCTACTGTCTCTTACCTAAATTTTGTTGACTTGAATAGTAGGAATGACCTGACTATGGAGTTGGGGAACAGAATGATAAAAGAATATTAAGCACTGGAATCACCAGCAGTAACCATGTCCTCCAAATTGTTATTAATATTTCATTAGAATTATATCAATTCTTAATCATTGATGTTTGGTTTGATTGATTTTAATAACATCTATAATGCATGTGTCATGCTAACCGAGGTTCCTAGTGTTCCAGAGATTTGCGTTCAGAATTTTTATTTAGACGCGCCTTTTGAGCCTGTACTCTGAATATTTCTTCCAAAGCTTCTCCATCTTCCTGTTCTTCTCTCTGCCTCACTTTCTCTTTTTCCCGCGTTTTAAATCTACTTTTCTTACACTTTCAAAGGAAAGCAAATCAGAAACTCTTAAAGTTGAAAAAGAGCAACAACAAAAAAAAATAAAATCCATCCTCCATCAATGGCCTCGGTCTAAGTGTTAAAGCACATTGCTTTTTAGCTTTCCTTCAACACTCTCATTATAGTCATCATTTTCGTCCCATATCTTTATTCCTTTTGTTCTTTAAATTTGCTTTTTTTTAGATAGAATCTCTTAGATTTTCATCACTCTCTCTATCATCCCTCTCCATCATTTGTAATCTTTGTTTTGCAGATGGATTCGGTGAAACCATCAGCAGTGACTCCATCTAAGAGTAAATTGGCGCGTACTTTTGCTAAAGTTCTTCATCTTCGAGCCGCGACTGGCATTGCCCCGGTCGATGGGATTCAGAAGGTTAAGTCCCAACAATTCGGTATTCCGAAGGTCAAGTCTCAAGAATTTGGAACTGCGAAGGGAAACTCCCAAGAATTTGGAAGTCAGAAGTTTAGCTCCCAAGACAGTGGAATTCAGAAGGTGAAATCCCAGGAAATTGGGATTCAGAAAGTCAAGTCCCTAGAAAAGGTCAAGGATGAATGGAATGCTGGTAAGGTTCGGGTTGATCAGTCTCGGTCATTTGACAAGGCTAATGAGAAGCTTCAGGAAAGAGCTGCCCTGGAAGCTCTTCTTGCAAAACTGTTTGCCAGCGTTTCATCTGTTAAAGCTGCTTATGCCCAGCTACAGTATGCTCAGTCTCCTTACGATGGTGAAGGAATTCAAGTTGCTGATAAAGTGGTAGTCTCCGAGTTGCAGAACTTGTCTGAGTTGAAGCGGTGTTTCTTAAAAAAGCAGTTTGATCCTTCACCAGAACGTACGCTGGTGCTAGCTGAGATTGAGGAGCAGAAGAGTGTCCTAAAAACCTATGAAATTATGGGGAAGAAGTTGGAATCTCAGGTGAGGCTTAAGGACTCTGAAATTGTATTTCTTGGAGAAAAGTTAGAGGAAGCCAAGAGTCAGAATAAGTTGCTTGAAAAGAGATTAAACCAAAGTGGGCAGCTACATGTGTTTGATAATCTTCATTTATCTGGTTTAAGTCCTAGCCATTTCGTTACAGTTCTTCGACACATGGTCAAGTACATCCGGAGTTTTGTTAGGATGATGATGGATGAAATGAAATCTTCTGGTTGGGATATTCATGCAGCAGCTAAAGCTATTGACCAGGATGTGGTTTATTGGAAAGAAGACCACAAATGTTTTGCATTTGAATACTTTGTTTGCAGGGAAATGTTTGATGCTTTTCAATACCCCAACTTCTCACTTCCAAATGAATCGTTGCCAGATAAAAGAAACAACAGCAACAGCTCTTCTTTGTGAGATTCACTGAACTCAGATCCATGAAAGCAAAGGAGTATCTTGCCCAGAATCCTAGATCAGCATTTGCCAAATTCTGTCGTGTCAAGTACTTACGAGTGGTTCATCCCAAGATGGAAACATCGTTTTTCGGTAATCTGAATCAAAGAAACCTGGTTAATGCAGGAGAGTTTCCAAGCTCAAATTTCTTTGCTTCATTTGCTGAAATGGCTAAGAGGGTCTGGCTCCTGCATTGCTTGGCCTTCTCCTTCAACCCCGAGGCTGCAATCTTTCAAGTAAGCAAGGGATGCCGATTTTCAGAAGTCTACATGGAAAGTTTAGCTGAGGAAGCGTTCCTTTCAACAGCATCTGAACCACAAGTGGGGTTCACAGTTGTTCCGGGATTCAAACTTGGTAAAACTGTTATTCAATGCCAAGTTTATCTCTCTCAGTCACAATCCACTCCAAGAAAGCGAAGGTAGGCCATTGATCAATGATCATTCACCAATCACCGAATCGAGTTGATCATCAGCTAAACTCGGGCCCACAGCATCTGGTTTATCACGTAATGAACTTGTAAGGCCATTTTGTCATTTGATTTTACTGATTTAAACTTGGTGAGGGAGAGGGAAATGGTCTGTCTGGTTGGTTGGTTTTGCTGTGGGGACTTCCAACTTGGTCACATTGGAGATTTCTTTATCCATTTGTTTTTCTTGCCCCATTTTGAAAAAAGGAAAGCGCGTGGACCGTTGTGTTGGAAGCTACCCTTTGAATCTTTCTTTAGTTTTATTATTTTCTTCCAAGGACATCCCACAATTTTGTTAATATTAGGTCAGTGACAGAGGGATTGTCTAGCTGTTTTGCATCATTGTTACGGACATGGCATGTTTTAATAATGTAAATAATAATTTATAGCTGGAATTTTTTATATTCCTGTTCTTTTACTTGTCTCTGCTTTTCTTTTCCACCAAGAGGTGTATACTCTTACATGTTGAATGGTCCACTAGGTCGGCCCCTATGGTACCATCCACATCCATCAACAGTTTACAATCGCCATTCGTTATTGTAAAATTCACATCAACAATTCATAACTGCTCTTTTAAAAAGCGATATTTTAAATCACTCTAATTCAGAAAGATTTACAGTTGCCGTTTGTTGTAAATCCACATCCATCAACGATTAATAAACGTGCGTTTTAAAAAGCGATATTTTAAACAACTCTAATCTAGAAGGAGGGTACAACTCTAATCTAGGAGGAGGGTAAAAAGAGACACAAACTTGCCTAACCTATTAGACTTTTTGGAGCCGAGTGTGATGCTCACTTGTTACTGTATATGCATTGAAAGTTGAGGTCACTTTCATTGAATTGCGCTTTAACTTATTGCTCTGCACACTGCACTCTGCACTCTGCAATGTGGAATATGCATGCATGATGCACATTGGGTCTATAATCAACAAATAAAAGAGAGAAATAATATGTACATTTCGGGTCCCACAGAGTACGCCTACTTGATTTATTCTGTGTTCATGGTCGGTGATGCAGGGCCATTAAGGGAAATGACAAGTTATTTGCACATTTGTCTTCCTCTGCCAAAAGGGTAACATGGCATTGTTTGGAGCCTCTCATCACGCTCTGCGTTTCCATACGAAAAAAAAATATCTGCCATTTATTTAATTTCAAGAGAGCCACATTATTTGGTTGTGGGAAAATGATGGAGTTTAGATAGGTAGTTGTTGTAGCTTTAACTACAGGAGACATAATGACATGCTTCAAAGAGAAGAGAGTGAAATTTCAGTTGGTCCTTTATTGCTTCCTTATCCCTTTTACAATCCAACCACATGGTTGTTATATATATATACAAAATGTTTGATCTTTCAATTCCAAGTTACTTGGATCATGGTGTTTGGTTGGGACATGTGGCATGGGCTAGATATGAGTCATAATTATGGAAAAAGGTTGGTATCTGGTTCATGTTTGCTTCATGAATGTCTTATATCACATGGTGAGGATATTTGTTTCTGATCATCCCTTGTCATATATTACATTTGAATTTTAAGATGAGATGTGCTAAGTAAATCATCCATAATGGGATATTTTGTTAACCGATCGTTGATGTATGTGGAACTCATCATCGGTCATGCGCTTGTGGAAAACTAACATTTGCAAAACACTTCTTCCCCATTTTAGTATCATATGGTGTTTTTCAGTGCTTAATTTGGACACTTGCTCATGGGCGGCTAAAGTAAACGATAGATGGAAATCTAGAGACAGAGAAAAAGAACAAAGAAGATAGAAAACCTTTCGATTGAGGAATTGTAAAATGAGCAACTTTATTAGGCTAAATTACATTTTTGATCTTCATAGTATGACTCATTTTTCGTTTTAGTCTTCATCATTTTAATTCGATAATTTAATTTAGTTATGTAATTTTGTTCAGGTAGCAATCAAGTCCAACAACTGTAACTTTGTAAGAAAAATGGACGAAACTATCACGTTTTGGGTTGATTGCAAATATTATGTAGAGATAAAGTTTCCTTTACATGTTGTAGCTGCATATTGCGCATCGAATTTCAAGAAGTAACTAGACATATTTACGATTTGGACTATATTGCAAGCCAAATGAAACTACATGACTCCAAATGCTAAAACTGAAATTATATAGGGACTAAAGTGAAAAATTAGTCACACTATGGGGGCAAAAAAATGTGACTAAGCCAATTTATTATAGGAAGGAGAAGAAGATGATATGTTTCTTGAGTGTATATTTGGACTTAATAGTCTTTTTTCTTCCTTACAAGGCCTTGTTTTCTTCATAAAGCTAATTTTTATATATAAAAAAGAACTATATTAAGTTCAATGTATTTGAAATGACTAGATGATGCTCATTTGATATGATTATATGCGACGAATTGTTTGAAATTCCTTTGTTTTCTTCCTTTTTTTTTTCTTTCTCTTGTCCAAATCTTAGATGACATTATATGTTTCTAAACAAATAATTATACCTTATAATGTCATCTAAATAGAGATTCCGAATTGTCCATCCAAATGTAGCCTAACATACTTTATCTAGTCATTGATAATGTAAAATCTTGGTTGAATTAATCTTCGCATTATGACAATATAGCATGTCAGCATTTGACAAGAGAGCATTGTGATTCATGAACAAACATATAAAGATGCAGTGGTGGATCTATTAAGGCGCAAACCATTGTCGTTACTTCAAATTGCCCCTCTGTTCAGCTGGTTGTGGTGCACTGCAGGTGTTCGATAAAATGACTCACCCAAAGTCTTTGTTGTGCTGCGTCCCTAGTTTTTTTTTAAAAAGTCCTGGCTAAAACAACCAAGCAAAAAAAAAGAAAAAAAAAGAGAGGAGGAAACCGGACTACAATTCATGGGCTTTCAACAATATGCTTAGGCATGTATTTCGTGGGCTTTAAAAAGTCTTTAAACATGTTTTTCTTTCTTATTTAAACAAGGATTTACAAAAGGATTTAAAAGAGTATTTTTATTTAAACTACGCACTTCTCTTTGTTCACCCTATATTCTAAGAAAACTCCACTATCTTCCCAAACTACCTCTAAATACACACCCTGTAACACCCCGACCCCAAATTATCCCATGTTTTAATTTATTTAAGTGGAATTGAGAAATTACCCGTGGGATAGGGGTATTTTAGTCATTTTCTTATCCGGAAGGAATTTGGGAATTCCGGATGTACCGTTGCGTAGAGTACGGTGAGATGAGTTCATAGACACGTAGTGGGCTCAAATCGGAGTTGTAACGAGAGAGATATGATCAAAAGAAGCTCAGTGGCATAATCGTAAATATTTGGAAAATGGATTTTTGGTTAAAAGACGGAATTGCCCCCGTCTCTCTCACACTCTCTCTCTCTCCCGCGCGCGTCTCTCCCTCTCTCTGGTTTTCGCGACGGCTGGAACAGCCGGCCACGTTTTGGCCGGCCGTGCTCTCGTCCGGCCACCAAAGTCGACGGGGCCGGTACCAAAATGACTGGGCCGCCGTCCTCTTCCTACCCCAGCCGGGTCTCACCGCCAGCCGCCGGGATTTCGCCGAAAAATCGAAGAAAACAGCCCGGTTTCGCCTGAAACTTCGCCGGCTTCGTTCTCCGTCGTCCGGCCACCGATTCCGGCAAGTGAGGTATGGTTTCTCACCTATTTTCCGAGCTCTAGCTGATGGTTGGGTAGGATTTCATAAATTTTGAGGCTAAGGAGCTCGATCGACGGATTGAAATTCGGCCGGTTTTGCGATCGCGATTCCGGCCACTTCCGGTCAGATTTTGGGGTACGTCCAAGAACAAAAGTGACTCCAAATTAGGTGTTTTACCTAGGGTAGGAGTCTTGAGCCGTGATCTGTGGTTTTTCCGGCGATGCGATATCGCTTTGGACACCCACGTGCTGCCGGCGCATGTGGCGGCGCGTGGGCACTGTAGCTGAGGGGCATTTTTGTCCCAATGTGATCCTCAGGTTGTCATGAGCGCGTAGGTGTGCTCGGATCTCAATTTGGATATTGTTAGAGTCCCGAACGGATATCGCATATCGCGTGTTTTCTGGGTTCGCTGGGTTTGGACCGTTAGATGGTCCTAATATTATAATATGTTGATCTAGGTATTACCAGGATCGTGTAGGATTCGACGGATCGTAAAACGGAGTCCCGGATACTCCGGAAATACCAACCCTGGGGTTAGGGTTTTAGTAACCGTCCGATCGTGCCATCGTGAGCGATCCGACCGTCCGATCTGGACCAAACTTGCAGGACGTGTGTCCTAGACCTTGTAGAACCTATAGGAACTGTCATATCGGAATTTGGAGGTTGTGGGCCCTGCAGGCCCGTTTGACCCTAGGTTGACCGTGAGACTCCCGAGATAGTCTTGCCTTTCCTTGAGGGTTAGGATGACCTTAGTGACAGGTCTTGAGCGTTGTTGAGTTAAATGGATATTGTGGGTTTAGGATATAAATTGGTGAATTTAAATGGGGGGAGTTTATGGAATATTTTATTGGTTGATGTTATTGTATGATTAGAAATTATATGATATATTTAATTAATTGTGTGGACGTGTAATGATATATAAAGAGATTGAATGTTAGTTTACAGTGCTATACGCACTACCCCACGTACCCCCATATTGTGATTATGTTGAAGCCCAAGTGATAGTGTGAGGTCGCACGCGTCTTTGGATTAGCCGGCGTGTTGACAGACCCCGTACGTGGCCGGGTGCGTCCCGACGTATGAGTGGGAGATATGATGGTATGATGGCTGGTGAGAATGTAGCCAGGCCCAAGTGATAGTGTGAGGTCGCACGCGTCTTTGGATTAGCCGGCGTGTTGACAGACCCCGTACGTGGCCGGGTGCGTCCCGACGTATGAGTGGGAGATATGATGGTATGATGGCTGGTGAGAATGTAGCCAGGCCCAAGTGATAGTGTGAGGTCGCACGCGTCTTTGGATTAGCCGGCGTGTTGACAGACCCCGTACGTGGCCGGGTGCGTCCCGACGTATGAGTGGGAGATATGGTTGTGTAATGGCTGGTGAGAATGTAGCCAGGCCCAGTGTGAGGTCGCACGCGTCTTTGGATTAGCCGGCGTGTTGACAGACCCCGTACGTGGCCGGGTGCGTCCCGACGTATGAGTGGGAGATATGATGGTATGATGGCTGGTGAGAATGTAGCCAGGCCCAAGTGATAGTGTGAGGTCGCACGCGTCTTTGGATTAGCCGGCGTGTTGACAGACCCCGTACGTGGCCGGGTGCGTCCCGACGTATGAGTGGGAGATATGGTTGTGTAATGGCTGGTGAGAATGTAGCCAGGCCCAGTGTGAGGTCGCACGCGTCTTTGGATTAGCCGGCGTGTTGACAGACCCCGTACGTGGCCGGGTGCGTCCCGACGTATGAGTGGGAGCTATGTGATTATGTTGGGTGTGTTGTGATGGATAAACCCGAGAATGTATGAATTTATATGAAGGTGATGGTTTAATTGATATCAGGAGCCAGGATTGATAGGAAAGAGCTACGTGTGGCTTGATCCCTTAGTAGGGTACGTAGGCAGCCTGGGATAGCGCCTAGGTGCAGCCACGACTTAGACACCACTTAGGTGGTTTTATCGAGTATGATGCGGACTTCGTGGTTGGTCCCAAAACTTGGTTGAATTGAGGCTTGTCCGATGGACTGAATGAGTGAAGGTGTGCATAGATAGATTTTGAATGGGTTATATGCATGTGTGATGCATTAAGTTATTTTAAAAACCGTGTGGGCAGTTCTGCTAGAATCATTTGAAGGCCGGAGGCCATTTATGTAAATTGCATGAGATTATATTGTGCGTGCTGCTGGTTGGGTTATAAAAGGTGTTTTATGCAGGTGGAAATTTTGGGGAATGTTCAATTTACAGGGGAGACTCTGCCGAAATTTTGGCAGAAAGTCTCGTGCCCTAAATCCTCTCTGGTAAAAGAGGACATAGTGTTAAGGAGTGAACCCGGCGTGGGTGTGATGCCGGGGTCTCCGCAGGGTTCGTCTCGGGTTTTGGGAAATTCGGGGCGGGTCCTGTCACACCCAGCAAAAAAAAAGAAGTCATCAACCCCACACCAAGTTCACCTCAACCTCACATTACTTAAAGAGATAAAAACATAGTTGTCAAATGTGTAGTAGCATTATTTTATTATTATTATTTATTTTGTTAAAATTTGAGAATGAACTAGGAGGTTTTGATAGAGAAATGTTGACAGTAAAATTGATATGGGATAGGTGCTAGTGTTTGCTAGGGTTCAAAAGACTATCCCAGATTGTTATATAAAATAAATCAACCAAATTTTTTTTGTTTATTCAATCTATTTTCATATTATTTATTTATTTATTTAGGGCGAATGTAACTGGAATTTGATCAATTAGGGATGGAGAAGTAGTGGATGATGAGGGGTGTGGATGGTTCGAAGTGAAAAAGGTGTAATTTTTTTCTTTCTCAATTGCCCCATTTTCTTCCATTACCAACATTAACATCCAGTATGCCAAGAAAAGTTTAGGCAGCGGCTTTGGAGCTTTCTTTTTGAGAGCATAGAAACACTTGAAGTTGCTACCTGCTAAAACCCCTTTGCTCTCTCTCTCTCTCTCTCTCTCTCTCTCTCTCTGAAAAACCAATAAACTCTCAGAGTGGCACACACAGCAATGGCGAGATCACTAGAAGAGACTAAGCTCGAGAGGTTACAGGTGCCCATATGTTTGTGTTTTTCTAAAACTTAACATGTAGAGTGGTTGGGTGTGTATAGATGTATTAGTATTAAGTCTTAAGTTGGATGACTTTTTTGTCTTTTTACACAATAATAAAACTTAAGAATTTAATGATTTAAGTATTATGGTGAACAAAGAAAAGTGTGGGTTTTAAATAGAAAAACTATTTTAAAAAGAAGGAAATCAATTGGTTTACTATTGCTGCGTTTTTATCCTTCTTCACCAAAAGTAAATATGATGTGCTGCGTTTTTTTTGCCTTCTTGACCAAAAGCCAATTTGTTTCTTCTTCTTTTTTTTTCATTTATCTTTTTCCCCTTTTTTGCAATATGCTTTCTATTTTATTTTTTCTGATTTGGCTCTTATGATCAGTATTTAGTAGCAAATTCTACACAACTTGAGGTTTGATCAATTACGATTTGTTTATTTTATTCTATTATTTTTTTATAAAGCTTTTAGCCTTTCAACATTGCACTTCCTCTAAAAAATTCATGGTTCCAATTGCTTGTTCATAGTGCTCAGCATCTACTCACTATGATACATCTATAGTGAGTGAATCCCAGCTGCATCGTGCAATGCCGCATACTCGGGTTGGATACGCCCACACGCCACTAGACATTGCAGACGACGAAGTAATAGCCTTTTGGTAGGGGATGAAGATTCAGATGACTTGGTGACAGTCGCCCAAGCGGTACACTGGTGGTTTGACCTACCAAAGTTTTACAATGTTGTTTCGCGTCTTTTGAAGAAGCCAGGAGGCGTATTTGCTTTTTGCTGCTACAATGGCATTGAAGTTGGTCCAACATTTGATCCTATTATGAAGCGATTTCATGACACAACACTTCCCTTCTGGGACAAGATCAACACTATTTGATGGCTACAAGACGCTTCCATTTCTTTTTGAAAGTGTTGGTTTCGAATCCGATTGCCACTGGACATTCCAAAGAAGCTTTCATGTGAAGGGTTTGAAGATGTTATCTGGAAAGGTGGTTAAAGAGTTTGAAAGTGCTTCGGGTGGCTCCAAATGGGTCAGGTCTGTCAGCTACAAGGCTTTTATATGCTTGCTGGAAAAGTTAGGCCATGAAGCCTGTGATAGGGTGGTTGTTTGGGAGAGTTTCTTAAAGCATGTAAATTCTTGTATGTATATATGTGTGTGTGTGTGTGTGTGTATACTTAAAAAATAGTGAGTGCTTGAACATTCCTTTTGGGTCAGAAATCATAATCACCTGGAAATAGTTTGATTCAGTTGAATTTCCAACTTGCAAATAAATGAAAATATCACACCCGTGCAGGTAGAGATGCAAACCTATGACATAACATTTTCTGTGGCATCTACAATGTTGATTTCTTGGACTGCAGTCATCATTGGAATAGGTTCAGAAAAAGCAAAGTTCTATGGGAGCTTCACAAATAAAAAATATATAAAATAAAAACAACCTGTTCACTGATATTAACTTTGTCCAATCAGCGATAAGTAGTCCAAAATTATGAATGCTGCAGCAAACACACTAACATAAGAAACGGTAGTCAATTCAGCAAATATATTTGATGCTGTTTGGTATCAATCCACTGTGAGACTTTAAATTATTGATGAGGAGGGCTTTGATTTTTAGACTACTAGTCAAAGAGAGAATAAAATTGCTTTTGCTTTCTCTTGCAACCCTTCAAATTCATTAGTTGAAACGAAATTGGACTTGGCTTCTAACCTAATTTTCTGTCTGTATCTTAAATTCCAAACTAATTACCCCAGAAAAGAAATTGAATAAAAAAATTATGACTTAAAAGACTTAATTGGGGTTGTCTATGCGTCAGCTTTAGTGAGTTAAAAGGTGCCTCATCTTCTTCTCTTGTTTCATTATTTCATACACAGAGAGGGGGAGAGAGTGTGTGTGTGTGAAAGAAAATGGCAGGTTTGTTTGACAAGCAAGCAGAGGTGTACTTGAATGGAAGGCCAACTTATCCCAAGGAATGGTATTCCAAGTTAGCAGCTCTCACCCCTCACCACACTCTAGCCTGGGATGTTGGAACAGGCAATGGCCAAGCCGCCATAAGTGTTAGTATTACAATACTACCCCCTCCCCTCCTCCTCTTCTTGTTCTCTCTTTTTGGAGCATTGTTTTTAATTTTGATTTTATATATAAACACTAAAACCTATAAATTAAATTGAAGGAAAAAACCCAAAAAGGTCAGATGCCTTAATTTTTAGTTTAGTGGGGTGTGAAATACAATTACTATCCTTGCAAAGTTAAATGGGGTTTTTCTTAGAGTTTGAGTATTGTAAGGTTTTTTTTACTAAAGACTTCCTAAGACTATACAATTACTAAAGACTCTCTTTAGTTTTTCTGGCTTGTTTACTAAAGACTCTCTTTAGGTTGCAGGTGTCCATAAAAAATAGAACAAAATAGAAAATCAGGTTCTTTCCTCCTCAAACATAAATTTGGTAACATACAAATATAACTGACCATTGATGAAATCAAATCTTGATTGAATTTTTTGCCTAAATGTGCAGTCTGACAATATAGCATGTTAACAGATTTTTTCTGACAAAGAGCAGTGAAGCAAACATTGTCATTCGCTAACAAAAAAAGAGATATATATATATATATATATATACATAGATTTATGCACTAAATTGTTTCTTAAACAGGTCGCCGAACACTATGAACAAGTGATCGCAACCGATGTGAGTGAATCCCAGCTGCAGCATGCAATACCGCATCCTCGGGTTCGATATGCCCACACGGCATTGAACATTACAGACGAGGAAGTAATAGCCTTGTTAGGTGGTGAAGATTCAGTTGACTTGGTGACTGTGGCTACAGCTGTGCACTGGTTCGACCTACCAAAGTTTTACAATCTTGTTTCACGTCTTTTGAAAAAGCCAGGAGGTGTATTGGCTGTTTGGACTTACGGTGGCATTGAAGTAAGTCCAACATTTGATCCTGTTATGAAGCGATTTCATGACACAACACTTCCCTTTTGGGACAATAGAGCTCACTATGCGTTTGATGGCTATAAGACACTTCCATTTCCTTTTCAAAGTGTTACGGGTTTCGGATGCGAAGGGAACCCGTTGACACTGGCCGTTCCGGCGAAGCTGTCATTTGAAGGGTTTTTGAAGTATCTGAAGTCATGGTCTGCAGTCACTACAGCCAAGGACCAAGGTGTGGATTTGTTACCTGAAAAGGTGGTTAAAGAGTTTGAAGCTGCTTGGGGTGATTCTAAATTGGTCAGGTCTGTCAGCTACAAGGCTTTTATGCTTGCTGGAAAAGTTAAGCTGTGAAGCCTGTGATATTATTATTATGCATATTGAATTTGAAACAGAGAGTGGGAAAGTGGGGATTGATAAGGGTACGTAGGAAGGAGTTGCTTAAATAAAACATGTAGTTTGATATTCTGTTGAGTTTCCGACTTAATTGCAACAAATAAAAATATCACACCCTCAAGAATATCTATGACATCAGGTAAAAAAATTTCAGCGAACTCGAAAATAATATCCTCCATAAAAACAATGTGTGCGTCCTCAATCCAAGAGATTTAACGCATACTTTAGCAAAAGAAAGACTTCAAAGAGTTACAGAAGCAAAGCTGTTCATAGCAAACAAAAGGATCTCCTTCCACAACTTTCAATTGAAACATTGAATTTCACAAGTGTTTGAAGCCCTTGGGAACAATATAATTTCCATCAATACCTCTAACGCGTCATCAAACTCCATATCGAAAGTCAAAACTTTCAACTCATTGAGGAGCTGACCGTGCTCCAACAAATATTCTACCATCTCCATCTCATCTGACCCTCCCTTGAATCCCGATATGCAAATAGTCTTGAGGCATGAAGACAAACAAACAGGCACAAGCTCGGGTGGAGACCATTCACTATAAAAAAAGAAAGCATTAGTCACCTTTTTATAGCAACAAAATAGTTTTGGTGACATTTGAGTGGGTGGTCAATGACTTTGGTTACTAGTCACCGTTATTTGTGACTAAACACTTTAAAGAATTGGTGAGTATTGATTTAAATATAATAAATGTAAACCAACTGACACATGAACATTAATTTGTTGAATATAATATTTGAGAATAATCTTCCTTCCAATTAAATATGTATAGAACACAACAAAAATTAAATACGTATACAAAAACAATTAAATATTACAATGGTTAACCAATAAAGTATTGCAAATTTATCCAGATTCAAAGAAAAAAATTTATTACAATTTAAATTAACTTTCCAATACTTCCAGCAAAACAGAAAAACACTCCAATAAAATTACAATTCACAGTTGCTTCTAATTGGTAATAAAGAATACAACTTCTTCTCGCATCCATCCTTCCCTGCGATTATTTGAGATCAAATCCATTCCCAGCGGCGGCTCCATTGCCAGCGCTCTTGAAGAACACAATTTGTTATTGCCCAAGTGGTTTCTTCTAGGACTATCTTCTTACTCCTACTCCAGAGCGGCAGTTGAATTTCTAAAGGCGCCTTCATCCCCGATCCGAGGTTCTACCTCTTTATTTTTCTATGTTGTTTTATCAATCATAAAATCTCAATCCTGGGCTTGTAGATTCTTAATTTGATTTTCATGTATTATTTGGATCTTAAATGGTTAATATTTACATCATCAAATTTGAGTCCTCCCTGCCTTCTTGAAAAATTTGATACTATCTGTTTAATATTGGTATTTGACCATGTGGGGTTGCCTTGACTAAATTTGTATTTATGAACTTTTTGCCTGATGGGGTTGCCTTGATTAAATTTTTTATCTTGTGATTGTTTCCAGTTGTTATGGATAAATCTTGGGTTAAATTAGATAGGGCAGGTGAAGAATATAAGACGTGTCTGCAACAATTTATTGATGATTCATTGCTTGTTGCATCTCACGATGGGATGCTCAAATGTCCTTGCAAGAAGTGTTATAATCGGTTTTGGCGTGAACCAAATCTTGTTTGGGCACACTTATTATATGAAGGGATGGATCCACATTATGAAGATCAAGTCTGGGTTTTTCATGGTGAACATTTACCTGACCCTGACTTCATGGAGGAGGTAGAAGAGCAACAATTGTGTGAACCCACAATTAATGAAATCCACAATGTCTTGTATGATGTTTTTAGGAGCGATAGCTCTGCGAATGATCCCCATGTTGATACAGAGGGTCAAACTACTAATGTGTGAGCCGAGTATGCAGAAAAGTTTTACGACTTACTCAATGATGCAAACACACACTTGTACCCTGGTTCAACGAGGATGAATAAGTTAGAGTTTTTTGTTAAACTGTACCAAGCCAAATGCTTGTCAGGTTCGACTGATAAGGGAATGGATATCATGTTGAAGTTGGTGAAAAGTATTCTTCCAGATGGGGAGACATTACCGAACAGCTTCTACGATGTAAAGCAGTTAATTAAGGATCTTGGTTTGGCATACCAAAAAATTGATGTGTGTCCGAATGATTGTATGCTATACTGGAAATAATCTATACTTGATGATTCTTGTAAGCATTGTGGGCAAAGTAGGTACCAAAAACAAGATGTGGAGGAGAATGGTGATACCAGAAAAGGTGACGCAAAAGTATAATAAGCAATGAGAGCAAGAATGTAAATTTTCAATGGAAGTTAAAAGGTTTCTTGTACTTTAAGAGTAGTGAATTGTCAGGGCTTTTGGTCTTCGTGTTTCAGTTAAATACTCTCATTAACTTATACATGTCAAACCACTAAAATGTTAATGTATATAGTTGAATATGAATGCAGAGGACAATTGATTGGTTTGATCTGGAAATGAGAAAGAAGGTACCCAAAATACGGGCCGTGGCTGAGCAGAAACTCAATCATCTTTGGAAGAAACACAAGGCCAATCTAAAAAAGAATTGGTATGATCCTTTTTTGAATTCAAAGGAGCGATGGAATTGCACTGATGACAGGGTTAGCAAAGAACAGTGGAGGTTATTGGTGCAATATTAGGAGACTGGTCTAGCGCAGGTAAAACATGAAATATGTCTTTGTTTTTTGTTTTTTAAAAAGGTCAATTGTTTGATGCTATATAAAATATTCATACAGAAACGATCAATCACAAATAAATGTAACCGTGCGAAGCGCAGGATGCACCACACAACGGGGACAAAATCATATGCCCAAGTGAGGAACCAATATGTAAGTGTCACAGTTTTTCTGGTCAATTAATGTGGAGCATGTTATCATATTGTATGTCTGCTTATGCAAGTTCTCATAATGTTTTGATCGTATATAAATGATAAAAACATAGAACAGCTGGTATATACTTTCAATTTTTTAATTAATAGGCCACGAACAAGTGATTTTGTGGATGGTTTAAGAAAAACTTCTTTTAGGTACTCATGCTATGATTTAAAATAATATTTTGTATGTGAACTGCCTGGTCGATTTTAGAAGGTGAATCACAGGGGTGTCTCCCCTGACAGATGCAAAATGTTTGAACTATGCCACCTAAGAAAAAATGGAACACCTGTGAATGAGACCGCTGCAAAAGCTATGGTGAGGCTGAATTTGATTGTATTTTAGGATCTGTTGTCTTGTGCTGTTTGTTATAGAGGCATCCATGTAATAGAATGCACAGTTAACATATATATATATATTCTTTGTGATTACTTCATGCAGGAAGATATGAATTCAAAGATCATTGATATTAGGGATAAAAAGATGCAAAACCAACTACAAGATGAAGTAACAGCAGAGGAAATCAATATTGTTTATGCTGAAGTGCTTGGAAGAAAGAAGGGTAATCGCGTGAGAGGATATGACATAGGGGTGAGAACTGAGGATATGTTGGGTGTGTTGAGAGAAAAAAAAGGTTTGAGGCTGGAGTTTGATGATATGCGTGAGTCTTACGAAGAAAGAATAGTACAGGTAACGAAGGATGCAAATGAAAGGGAAGAGAGAATTAAAAGGGAAATGAGAGAGGAGGGGAGAGCCACAACGGAAAAGGTGAAACATTTGGAGCAACTTTTAACGAAACAACAAGCCATCATGGAAAAGGTTTTAGCTAATGCAAGCAATGTTTCTAGCATTGATTCTGAATTGCTACTTTGACATGTTTCATCAAGCACTGTACAGGTAGGACTTGGTTCTAATAGATTGGAAGAAATTATGACTGCAACCTTACATTCACCTTACATGCCAAGCCAAACATTAATTGATCAAGATGGTTATAGACTAATATTAAGGGGGATAGAAGAGGAGGAGCATGCAAGGAATGTAGGCCCTGTGTTCAAAGTTTGAAAAATATGGTTCCAAATTATGGTATGTAGACCATGCAGTACCATTATGCTTTTTGTTAACATCATGCTTATCAATATATATGGGTTTTGGTATTATGAAATTCATAATACCAAAATACATGTTAGTTTGGTATTTTGGTCACAATTGCTTCATTGGTACTAGGGTATGCCATTTCCTTTTTGAAGACCAAGCTCATGTGGGATGAAATTAGTTATTTTGAAAGTAGATCCCAAATGATTGTATATTTAGTTACCAGTGACTTAATATTTTGGGATGTTTAATCCTCCATATGTGTAAATTGTAATGAAAATTATGAAATCAAAGCTAATATGTTTATGAAATGTTTACTGTACTAGAGGAAATTGCAATGAAAGTCAATATCTTTATTAAATTGTTTATTGAATTTTAATGAAATTACAATAAACACCATACATTAATAAAAACAATAATTTTATTAATTAATTATTAAAAAATGAAAAGTAAGAAATGTACAAATAGAAATTGTAATTTTTTAAAATAATTTTAATACACAGATATAGATTTAAGTAACAAAAATGTATTGTTAATTTTGTTGAATTTGATGGGCCCCATTGTACTTAAATACTATTAACAATCAAATACGTAATATGAAGTTGATTGGATAGTCAAATAAGTAATAAAATATGGTAAATTAAAGTTGATTGGAAAGATGATGGGCCCCACATGCTGTTAAGAGTCAATTTCCACAATGTCACGAATGTTGTTATATTAGTGACCATAGCCTTCAGTAACGGCTTCATATGTAATGAAGCCCACAATTGTAACTACATGGTGACTATTGCTTTTACTCACCAAAAAAGGTGACTAATGATGTCAACAGTCACCAATAAAATGGTAACAATTGTTGACTTTTTTTTGTAGTGATTTATGTTCCAACTCATCTTCATTATGAGCAGCACGCATTTAATGTTCTAAAGATGATTCAAAATATATGAGTTAAATAAAAATCCTTGAAAACTGAATACACATATATTTGAGGGACATCTTGTAGGACCCCTCCACTTGTATTCCAATGATCCGAACTGTCAATTTTTTAGTATTTTTTTAAAGATCATCTTTGCAAAAAATCAGTTGAATCCGCAACCATTAACCACTCAATTAAAAATTATTTTATCAATCACAATTAGATGTCTTAATGGTTTTCAATTTGTCTAATTTATTGCAATAATGATCTTTTAATGAACACTTAAAAATAGACACAGTATATTTAGCACCACATATATTTATATGTATACATATTATATATATGCATATATATATATATATATATCCACACCATATATTTAGCGTAAAGGTAAATCCACTTAGACTTACAACTGCAAAGAGAAGATTTTCCAAATTGGGCGTTATCTTGAGCATGTTTGTCAGTGATATCCATGAGCAGCATGCTAAGTGATTTAGCTCCAACTGGTTCAAATGATTGAATGTTGGCAAAGAACATTGATATTCGATGTATCCTGCATGGAACAATAAGTATATTAGGTCATTTACCTCCGAAACTAAATATTTCGTCAGCATAATATATACGATATCAATACAATATAATGCTATTTGAACGACATTTATTGACCACCTTTCTAATGGAGGTAGGCTCCATCTGTATTATAGAGAGGTGATCAACAATATGGTCAGTAAATATGGTACAAATAACAGCATTCATACAACATTAACACTGATAAATTCTAGCAATTGAAAAGGCAACAGACCAGTAAGAGAACAAGTTGAGTACACTTACCCCCAAAACTGGAACTACAAGTTACAGATGTTTAACATTGCTGATTTCTTCAAAAAGCCTCTGCACACGATCAACATCACCAAGGACATCGGCAAGGTTTTGTTTCTTGAGTGTATATTTGGACTTAGTTGTCTTTTTCTTCCTTACAAGGTTTTGTTTTCTTCATAAAGCTAATTTTTATATAAAAAAAGAATTATATTAAGTTCAATGTAATTGAAATAACTAGATGTGTTGTTTGATATGATTGTGTACGACAAATTATTTGAAATCCCTTTGTTTTCTTCCTCTTTTTTTTCTTCTCTTGTCCACATCTTAGATGACATTATATATTCTAAACAAATAATTATACCTTATAATGTCATCTAAATAGGCGCATTCATCTTTAGCAGGAACCTTCCCTCGTGACTTTGAACGAGATTTTCCCCGCTTCCTAGATTTTCTTTCCTCTGTTCGACCCCTTGCAACGAGTGCCTTGGTTTGTGAATTGTGAGTCTTCTGTTCCTTCTTATGACACTCATGATTCACCAATGCCGGAGACACCTCATCAGGTTTCACCTTGGATTTTCCATACAACAAAAGTAGTTGTCAAATGATCATAATCATCAGGCAATGAATTTAACAAACATAGTGCCTTATCCTCATCAGGAATTATCACATCAAGGTTTGCTAAATCAGCAAGTATTTTATTATAATCATTGAGGTGTTTGTGCATAGAAATACCTAGACGATACTGAAGTCGGAAGAGTCGTTTCTTCAAGAAGAGTCGATTTTCTGCGCTCTTGGTCATATATTTCTCCTCCAATTTCTTCCATAACTCCTTAGCTGAAGTTTCCTTCGTATATGGGTATTTCAACTCCTTATCAAGGAAGGATCGAATAGAGGCACAAACATGAAGATTAATTCGTATCCACTGCTTGTCATCAATATCTTCGGGTTTATCCTCCAGAACCATATTTAGCTCTTGTTGATACAATACATACATAACTTTACATTGCCACATACCAAAATTATCAGAGCCATTGAATTTATCAACCTCTAACCTTGTAGTAGCAATTGGATGTCTATTAGGTGCCGACGAAGACGATACTGACTCCTTCTCCTTCACAGATTTGTCTTTAGCTCAGCCATCAAATCCATTCGGCACTATTCACGGTACTGTAGCACACTACTGTTTACAGTACTGTAGAAGTCACTGTTCACAGACTGTAGCCCGACATTTTTCACGACTGTAGCACAGCACTATTCACGCCACTGTAGCTCCAGAAAATTTTTACAAGACGCTTCCATTTCTTTTTGAAGTGTCGGTTTCGCATCCGATTGCCACTGGACATTCCAAAGAAGCTTTCATTTGAAGGGTTTGCAGATGTTATCTGGACAGGTGGTTAAAGAGTTTGAAAGTGCTTCGGGTGGCTCCAAATGGGTCAGGTCTGTCTTTTATATGCTTGCTGGAAAAGTTAGGCTATGAAGCCTGTGATAGGGTGGCGTTTAGGAGAGTTTCTTAAAGCACGTAAATTCTTATATGTGATATGTGTGTGAGTCCTTTTGGGTCAGAAATCATAATCACCTGGAAATAGTTTGATTCGGTTGAATTTCTAACTTGCAAACAAATGAAAATATCACACCCATGCAGGTAGAGATGCAAACCTACGACATAACATTTTCTGTGGTATCTACAATGTTGATTTCTTGGACTGCAGGGAATAGGTTCAGAAAAAGCAAAGTTCTGTGGTATCTCATATCAATCTAGTCATACTTCGAAAATCCAGGATTGAATGTGTTGCGCCAAAACTTCTAATAAAAGATAGTCACACCTTAATTCCCGACCTATGCTAGAGGCTATGAAAGACAATACAATTTTCATACTAACAGTTCAGAAAAAGCGAAGTCCTATGGGAGCTTCACAAATAAAAAATATATAAAATAAAAACAAGCTGTTCACTGATATTAACCTTGTCCAATCAGCAGTAAGTAGTCCAAAATTATGAATGGTGCAGCAAACATACTAACATAAGAAACTGTACTCAAATTCAGCAAATATATTTGATGCTGTCTTGGCATCAATCAACTGTGAGATGAGGGCCTTGATTTTTAGACTACTAGTCAAAGAGAAAATAAAATACCTTTTGCTTTCTCTTGCAACTATTCAAATTAATTTTCTGTCTGTATCTTAAATTCCAAACTAATTACCCTAGAAAAGAAATTCAATAAAAAAATTATGACTTAAAAGACTTAATTGTGGTTGTCTATGCGTCAACTTTAGTGAGTTAAAAGGTGCCTCATCTACTTCTCTTGTTTCATTATTTCATACACAGAGAGAGAGAGAGAGAGAGAGAGAGAGAGAGAGAGAGAGAGAGAGAGAGAGAGAATGGCAGGTTTGTTTGACAAGCAAGCAGCGGTGTACTTGGATGGAAGGCCAACTTATCCCAAGGAATGGTATACCAAGTTAGCAGCTCTCAGCCGTCACCACAATCTAGCCTGGGATGTTGGAACAGGCAATGGCCAAGCCGCCATAAGTGTTAGTATTACAATACTACCCCCTCCCCTCCTCTTCTTATTCTCTCTTTTCGGAGCATTGTTTTTTATTTTGATTTTATATATAAACACTAAAACCTATATATATATATATATGCATATATATCCGCACGATATATTTAGCGTAAAGGTAAATCCACTGAGACTTACAACTGCAAAGAGAAGATTTTCCAAATTGGGCGTTATCTTGAGCATGTTTGTCAGTGATTTCCACGAGCAGCATGCTAAGTGGTTTAGCTCCAACTGGTTCAAATGATTGAATGTTGGCAAAGAACATTGATATTCGATGTGAGTATCCTGCATGGAACAGTAAGTATATTAGGTCATTTACCTCCGAACTTAAATATTTCATCAGCATAATATATACGATATCAATACAATATAATGCTATTTGAACGACATTTATTGACCACCTTTTTAATGAAGGTAGGCTCCATCTGTATTATAGAGATGTGATCAACAATATGGTCAGTAAATATGGTACTGATAACAACATTCATACAACATTAACACTGATAAATTCAACCAATTGAACAGGAAACAGACCAGTATGAGAACAAGTTGAGTACACTTACCCCCAAAACTGGAACTACAAGTGACAGATGTTTAACATTGCTGATTTCTGCAAAAAGCCTCTGCACACGATCAACATCAGCAAGGACATCAGCAGGGTGGCCTTCATCCTCCTCACGCATTACACTGAAATCAATCTTGGCGTTGGTCAAGGATTTTGCACCCTTCAAACAATAGCTCGCCAAGAAGTTCTCCGAGAGATCCAAGTCTTCAAGACTTGGAACATCCGCGTTAACAAAAATCTTGTTCTCCCCTAGTGTCATAGCATGAGCAAACAAATATATTTTTGGTCTTTTTAGTTTCGGTGCGGAGATCGTTACATTCGAAACTTGATTCTCTTCAAGCCATCCAAGATCTCCATCTACAACCAAATCTTCGAGCGCAGGGCAGCAGGAAAAGAGCTTCTCGATTTGCTCGACATATTTTGGAAAATCGAATGTAATGTGGAGGGACTTGAGCCTTGGGAAACAGTTTGATTTGGGAGGAGCAACGGCAGTAACATGTTCTCCCAGACTCAGCTTCAAAGTCTCCAAAGTCTTGCACACGAAAAGATCTTGAGGCAACACAAGAAATTCGTGTGAATCGTCCCTCTCATCAAACTCAAGGTGGAGCTCAACAACATTACGCCTAAGGGCAGTGCAAATCCATCCATTGATACGACCAACTATGCTGTCGAGATCGACACAGCAAAGATGAAATTTGTGAATGTTTGATGATCCGCGAAAGAGAAGGTAACGATCCACATACGCTGCAGTACCACCTGAATCCCATGCAGTTGACAACACAATTAGCTCTACATTGGGAACAAGAGTCCACATATTCTTCCATCGATTTGATAAAAAGCAGGTCGTTACAGCATCTGATGTTGGAAGGAAGGAAAGAATGTGGAAAATGATTGCATCTGGCAATGCACTGATCCTATCTTCAGTGCGTGCTTTGGACACATTGACTTTGAGTTCGAATCCATTTCCAATGATATGTTTTCTGAGGAAAAAAAAAAACATAATAGGGAGAAAACCCTTTGACCAAAAAAACAGAAGAAGGTGAAAACCCAAACGACCATGTGATTTCGGTTGCTTAACAAGCATTGTACGCTTGTTTTAGTACCCATAGAAAATAAAATTTATTTGGTTTTTGTCCTTTGGACTTTGCTTGTAAAGGGGGAAATTATTTGGTTTTCCCCCCTCAGTTCATAAAAAATGGGAGAAATTATAGAATAGTTTCACACATATGCAAAAATAATTTATAAAAAATACAAAAGAAAAATTTATGTATGCAAGTCAAAAAATGTAGGGGTACCTACTTTCACGGGAATGAGGAAAGTATTTTTCAAAGAAAAAAAGATTATATACATAAACCCATGAAACTCGGGAAATTGTATCCATGAAGCTAGCGAAAATTTGCTCCATAAAATTCTACACTTCAAAATTCAGTAAAATCTCTGCAAATTCTCAAATAAAATTATTTCACTAATCTTTTCTAGACCTGTCAATGGATCCGGTTTTAATCCGAATCCAATACAAATCAGAATCCAATATAATCATTAACCAAACAAATCATTAAATATTTACAGTTGGTATACTCATATAATAATCCGACCAACTTAAGAAATATAATTTAAAATAAATTTTACATATGTGTGCAAGAGTAATTTGAGTTTTATATACATTTAGAACACACTTTAACTATTTATTTACACTCCAACAACAAATAAAAGCTAGTTATTATAATAAAGTATCAATATTCAAAAAAAGAAAGTGCATAAACACAATAAAAGAACGATATTACTAATGAGATTTTGAATTTTTTTCTAGGTCTTAAACTGAATATGATCCCTCTAACGAAGTCTTGTCTAGTGAAAAACGGTCTTGATTTGCAGACCAGTGGTCTCATGTTCGAATTTCCATGGCACCATGATAGTGTGTTTACATGAGAAACCTTCTTCCCTTTGTAATTCAGACTATCAAAAAAAAAAAAAAAGAATCCCATCTTAATCCAACACTCATCAAATATGGATTGAAAGGTTCAATCCATTAATCCAAATCAAATCAAAATCATGTAATCCGATTATAAATAGATTTGGGTTTAGATTAGTCCGATTTGTCAGTCCAGCTCGGGTTGTATGTGGGTTTCTATTGACATATATACTACCAGGTATTAAATCATTTAGTTTTTTTTGGGTATCCAAACATAGGGTATATAACATTATAAGAGCTAATAGAAATTATATCAGAGAATGAAAAATACCTTATATGGTTCTGGTTTGCCGAAGGCAATTCTAGTTTTAGGCTGTAGTCGTGCCGATGAACTTTGTCTGGCTGTTGATAAACAACGGGAAAACATATGAAGATGAGAAGTTGGGCTACTTCCCCATGGAGGTGTTGATGGGAATATGGAGGGTATTAAATATTTATGTTGACGAAAATATCGAGGTTCCAAAAACACGAAAGCAAAAATGGAAATATTTTTTTTGGGATGAATATAAATGGAAATATTGGTAGCGATACATTATCGAAAAATGCAAGTTAATAGAAAATATGAAAATTTTGAATATATTCTATTAAATATTTGTGGTTTTCCCTAAAAGAAAGTATTAAAAGCAAATGTGGGTTAAGCTAGTTGGCAAAGACAGTGAGCTCGCTCCTTTTGCACTAAAAGTTTGAATCCCCTGAAACCGAAAAAAGCTCTCTCTCTCTCTCTCTCTGATAACCTCAAGCCCTCTAGTGGGCATTGCCCTTCCTCCCTTTTTCTCATCTTCCCTCATCCTCTTCTTTTTTCCCCTCTTTGTCCTTCCCTTTCAACCCCCCTCTTTCTCCCTCCACTTCCTAGGGGTGGCTCTTATTGCCCCTTCTTAGATTTTATGACTAGATCCGTTAGGATATATAGTATTTGTTAGTGGGTTTTGTTTTTTTTTTTTGTGTGCAGGGTCTTGGTGGTAAAGGAGGAGGAGGCAGCGTTGACGTCGATGGGTTTAGCAGCCACAACGAAACACCATTGTCTCCATGATATAGTTGTTGTTTTGACTCATATATACACAGATTTGGCTCCAGTTTCGATTTTGGAGTTAGAAAAATGAAAGTTGTTGTATTGTGTGGGTTGGGGTTTAGCCGGTATGGCACTAATACCATCTCCAACCCAATGGGCTAAAAGCTAAATTTTTTATTTTTAGCCCGAAACCCATCTCCAACCTATGTATTGCAAGGAGCTTTTACAATGAGGAGTTTAGAGTGAGGAGCTTATTTGAGGAGTTCAATCCCACCATCAAACCATTTAAAATATTTAAGTTTATTGGTTTCTTCACATTTGTTGATGATGAGATTGAACTCCTCAAATAAGCTTCTCACTCTAAACTCCCAATTATAACCAGAGCCGATCCATTGATTTTGGAGGCCCTGTGCAAATATGGATGTCGAGGCCATATATAGACAAGTAGGAAAAAAAAATCAATATAGAAACAAAAATTTCTGACACGGGAAGAACACATTCGGAAAGAGCTTCCTAGAAAAATTTCTTTAGTCACCCTTCCAAATCACATAGCTGATAAATTGATTTTCCAATTTCAATGCTTGGTGAATTCTCATGTGAATAAGGGAGGGAGAAAAGAACTGTGATTTTGGGGAAAGGGCTAAAACTTGGGTTTTTACAATCCAAAATTTGATGGAAGAGGGTGGTACATTGGTACTGAAGAGAAATGACTTTATTTTGACGGAGGAGAGTGAGAAAGACTTATTGAAAGAGAAAAGAATATTATAATGGTTTTGCAGCTTGAGAGTTGGGAAGAGGAAAACACAAGTTTCAAACCACAATAAATAAATAAAAAGAAGAGTTGCAGCATGAGAGTTGGGAAGAGGAAAATGAATTAAATTAGGACCTCTACTTTCTAAGTCGTAGAATTTTTTGATAATTAATATTCAATTCAATTTTGATTTTGGTGCCTTGCATGTAGGCCTCATCATTTGGCCCGCGGGCTCATGGGCCGATGGGGGCCCACCCGGCCCATTGAAAAAAAGCCCGGCTGAGCTCCTTATGGGCTTTGAGATGGCCCGGCCTGCCTTGGGCTGGGCTAGGCTTGGGCTTGGGTGTCTGAAGTCCGGCTCGGCCCATAGGCTCGCCTGATTAAGCCCAAGAAAGCCCGGCTCAGCCCGCCCACAAAAGCCCGGCCCATTAGACCCACATACATATATAATTATGTATAAATAAGAGTTTATGATTAGGATTATATCACTTAAATCACATATATAATTTGTTTCATTTCATTTACTTTTCTTTACCCATTCCTAGTTTATAATTGGATGATTAGCACATTAATTTGTGTCAATTATTAATACAACAATTATATATATAAAAATAAGATGAACAACATATCATATCACCAAATATAATCATATCACGAAACATAATCGTACCACCAAATATAATAATGCTTTTCTTGAACACATCACCAAACATTTGCATATTTATTCATACTATCCTTAAATTTTTTTTTTATTCTTATTATTTTTAAAAATTATTTCTTAAAACATATTACGGTCTAATTATGTAATAACCTCAAACATAATACTTGGTTTTATTATTTTTGTGGAAAATCACCAATTTGGTCCCGAGGTAAGGAATAACCAGTTACACCAAAAGATGCGGTCAATACACCCGAAAGAATTGGAATTTTTTGGAGATTGGATGCAGTTACTAATTCATGATCTGGCATGTACATAATGAAAACTTCATTCTCGATTCTACGAGAATTTTTAAGTTGTGTGACTTTATTGGGTGTTTTATGAATTTGGTTTGATGTGAAAATATTGGAATTGAGTTTAATCTCAAAATTTGGACTAAAATGCCCTTATGATTAAGTTTATGATTTTTTTCGAATGAAGTAGGCCCGTTTCGGCCCAGCCTGTTGGGCTTAGCCTGGCCCGGCCCGATGGGCTTTCTCAAACTCGGCTCATGGGTCGAGCTTGGGCTTTGAATTTTCTAAAAAAATTCAGCCCGGCCCAAGCCCATTAAATTTGGGCCGGGCTTGACGAGCCATACTTGCATGTGGTGTTGTGGGGCAATATTTAATATTTCATTTTTATTTTCATGTTTTAGTTAATTTAATGGGTTGACTTGAAAAAATTTGGAGGCTTTTAAATTTTAGGGGCCCTATGCGGTCGCACACCTCACACACTCCATGGGCCGACTTTGATTATAACCTCTCCTAGTATTGCAAGGGGCTAAATACCAATGGAGGCAATAAGTTGGGCTGTATTCCGCCTGATGTTTTGGCTGGACTGTAAAGAGTGGAGCTCACGGAAAGAACAAAAGGCAGCCCACGTGAGGAGAGATAATGCAGGACCTTTGAGTTATTTTTCAAACTTGAAGCGGGGCCCGCCACTTGTGTAATTCCAATCCAACCCACATGTTTTGTTTTTGACAGAGGTGATGTTCTGGCGTTTGAAATCCAACGGCAAGAATTTGCTTGCGTTCATTTTTTCAAAATCTATACTTAGCCGCCACCTCATCGAACAGACAGCCATGGTTTTTTTTTTTTTTTTTTTTTTTTTTTTTTTTTTTTTTTTGTAATCTGACTAAATCTAACTTGAAAACAAAATCCAACAATCCAAAATGAAATTCAACGTTCAAAATATTAATATTAATTAATCTAACCCAAATCTCATCCTAAAGTATATAAATATTCACTTATTGTTCATAATTTGTGTGGTTTCCTTTTATATTTATGAATTAAAATTTTATTTTCAAAAATTGATTTTTTTTTAGATTAGAATGTTTAAAAAAATAATATCATGATATAATAAACAAAATTACACATAAGAAAAAAAAAAAAAAAAAAAAAAAAAAAAAAAAAAAAATAATTCTTAAACAATTTAACAAAGTTGCAGAGTCAAATTTTGAGTCTGCATAGTTAGAGGAAAAACTGTTTGAGTCAGCACAATACATGAATAGTTGTATTTTGAAGGGGGAAAATTTAGGTTTAGCCTCATGAGTCTCTTTAGTTGCCGGAGAGGATGTGGTGCGGTGATCCTGTTTCTCTGTTTGTTTTAGTCTAGTAATTCTCAGGAATTCTTTAGTAGTTTGCTGTGTTTTGTATTTTAGTTGCAGTTTTCGATATGGATTTACCGTTTCTACTGTTGAATATGTATTGTAAGTCTGAGTGCAAGTGCTTTTGGCGGTTGAATCGGGAATTTAAGTGTCTTTTATTTAAGGCGTAATTCTCTCTAGATCAAATCAACATATTGTTGTATTTGGTCCCTAGAGACATTGTACCAATATTCGGCACTATGTCTGCTTTGTACTTTCTTATGTTTCATCAATAATTACTATCACTATTTCTCAAAAAAAAAAGAAGTTTGAACCCCCCTTCCCGTTGATTAGATTAATAGAAAAATTAAGTATTAGACATAATTAACTTTACTAATTAGTATTTGAGACATTGGGCATTTTTGTTTGGGTTTTAATACCTAGAAAAGAATTGTTATTTTGGATTAGGCCAAAGATGAGGCCCAGATTCATTAGGCCTGTCAAATTTATAAAGGTAAAATACATTTGTACCCTTTTTGTTTAAAACCCTTCCAAAATCAGATCTCACCCTTTCTTTCTCTCTCTTGGACAGACGCGGCATAGCGACTGCCTTAGATCATGGCTTCTCGGGCCACCTGCGATGACGACTGGTAACAAGTAGGGTACAGTCTATGCTGTTATGGTTTCTAACTTTCATACGGTTAGATTTGAGCTATTTTCTACAGGTTATATATCTGATTTCTTTCAATTTAACAGACTGGTAAAGTTGCTTGAGGATATCATGGATGACATCAGAATACTAATATTCATGGATACTAAGAAAGGATGTGATCAGATCACTCGACAGCTCCGCATGAATGGTTTGCCTGCTCTCTCAATTCATGGAGACAAAAGTCAAGTAGAAAGGGATTGGGTCCTCTCTAAGTTTAAAGCTAATGACTGCAACAGATGTTGCTGCTCATGGTCTAGGTATGGAAATAATTTCTTTTGAGTTTGTCAAAAGACTTGAAAGGAATTCTTGTTTTGTGTAAACTTAGGAAAATATCAAACCCCCACCCTGGACACCATTTCATTTTGCTCTTTCCTATGTTTTATCTTTTATGGTTTTATGATATTTTATTTTATTTGCACTTCTTTGTTATTTATTAATTTTTTATTTATTTATTGAAAGATGCTATTCTTCCCAACTAACAATTTCTATTTGTTTCCCACCTGGGATGAGACCCACTCCACGAAGAAGATTACTATTTTTTTTTATTAATAAGGCTATTTGAAGCAGTCAATTGATACTTGGTTCAGTTTTTTCTTTTGTGTGTGTGTGTAGGATGCTTGGGTATTTAAAGGAGATCGACTCTCCTCCACCTGTGCGAGCCTCTTTCTCTTTCATTCTCTTTTAATGCATTTGCTTGTATTTGGAATTGGGGTGTTTGAAAATATTGTTAATCCTTACGATTTTATAGGTTTTTTCTTTTTCTTTTTTGTTTGTTTGTTTGAAAAGATGGTTTGGTGGTTGTTTTGTTGACCAATGTTTGCTGCCTATATTTTTTTTTTTTTTTTTTTTTTTTTTTTTTTGATACAAGTGATTATGTTTTTGGTCAATTTTGTGAAAATCAAAATACTTGAGAAAAAAGAAGCTGCTTTGAAGAATCAAATTCAATTTCATCTAGCTGCTTTGGAAATTACAATTGGATTTTTGCACAAACTACATTGCAGTTTTGGTAATTACAATTGGATTTTTGCTCTTTCATTGGCCTTCAACCTCACCAATTTGAAGAGTAGAGGCTACCCAGATGAGGAATTGGGTGGGCAAGAGAATAGAGAACTACCCAAGAGCAAGGGAATTCAAAATTGGACTTTTGGAAACTGGAAATTGCGTTGTAGTTTTCATTTAATTACAATTTGATTTTTGTTCTTTCCTTGGCCTTCAACCTCACCAATTTGAAGAGTAGAGGCTACCCAGATGAGGAATTGGGTGGGCAAGAGAAGAGAGAACTACCCAGGAGCAAGGGAATTCAAAATTGGTCTTTTGGAAACTAGAAACTGCATTGCAGTTTTCATTTAATTACAATTTGATTTTTGTTCTTTGCTTGGCATTCAACCTCACCAATTTGAAGAGTAGATGCTACCCAGATGAGGAATTAGGTGGGTAAGAGAAGAGAAGAACTATCCAAGAGCAAGGGAACTCAAAATTGGACTTTTGAAAACTGGAAACTACATTGCAAGTAACGATAAAACAGACAGGGACATCTGCACTCTTCGGAGGGTGATGACTCAGTCTAATGGGAATCTCTCTGATGCATTTTCAACATTTTTTAACTGCACTGGATTTTTGTGTTCTTGTGTAATTATTTGTTTATGTTGGTTTTTTTCTTTTAAAATCATACATTTGAGTTGTGGTAGGATTGTTGGTGGTAATTTGTTTTGATTGCAATGCAGAAAACGGAAACTGCAATGCAGTTTCCATTTAATTATACATTGTTTTATCATTGGATATTGGTATGATTTTGAAGTTAATGGAAATTATACAATTGTCATCAATGAATATGTCTTTTTGACTTTGTTTAGTTGCTTGTTTTCATGATGGCTTTGCCTTTTGGTTTGTTTTTTTTGTTGGTGTGGTTGCAACTTGATTAGAAATTGCAATGCAGAAAATGGAAGGAACTTATGTTACCTTGATATGTTTCCATTGCACGTTCCAATGTCTTTTCAATGAGCATGCTTAGTGTTACTAGTAATCCAGCTGGGCAGGCAAGTGACAAAGAACGTAGCTAGAATTCTTTTTTATTAAATCAATTTGATACAGCTCTAATACAAGGATTGCCACTTGCCCTTTGCTTGTTTCAAATATATTTTCTCCTTTTATTTAGGGCATGTACTCATCACTCAAGTTTGGAGGTTGACGCATCTTATTCTATGATTGTTGTTCGTTGTACATAATTTGGTCTTATTTTATATAGCACAAACGTCGTTTTATATAGCACATAATTAGGTCAGGCAATGATCTAATTTAGCTGCAACTAAAGCTCACTTACTATGCATTTGTCTTGATTTGGAAATGGTTGATGTCATCACTGTCATATAATATCATGCAATACCATTTAAGCTTCAGTTCAGTGAAATTTTACACAGGTTCTGCATTGTAGTTTGCACAAACTACATTGCAGTTTCAGAAACTGCATTGCAGTTTTGGTAATTACAATTCAATTTTTGTTCTTTCCTTGGCCTTCAACCTCACCAATTTGAAGAGTAGAGGCTACCCATATGAGGAATTTGGTGGGCAAGAGGAGTAGAACTACCCAAGAGCAAGATAACTCAAAATTGGACTTTTGGAAACTGCATTGTAGTTTTTATTTAATTACAATTGGATTTTTGCTCTTTCTTTGGCCTTCAACCTCACCAATTTGAAGAGTAGAGGCTACCCAGATGAGGAATTGGGTGGGCAAGAGAAGAGTAGAACTACCTAAGAGCAAGGGAACTCAAAATTGGACTTTTGGAAACTGGAAACTGCATTGCAGTTTTCATTTAATTACAATTTGATTTATGTTCTTTCCTCGGCCTTCAACCTCACCAATTGAAGAGTAGAGGCTACCCAGATGAGGAAGTGGGTGGGCAAGAGAAGAGTAGAACTACCCAAGAGCAAGGGAACTCAAAATTGGTCTTTTGGAAATTGAAAACTGCATTGCAGTTTTCATTTAATTACAATTTGATTTTTGTTCTTTCCTTAGCCTTCAACCTCACCAATTTGAAGAGTAGCGGCAACTCAGATGAGGAATTGGGTGGGCAAGAGAAGAGTAGAACTACCCAAAAGCAAAGGAACTCAAAATTGGACTTTTGGAAACTGGAAACTGCATTGCAATTTTCATTTAATTACAATTATTTTTGTAGCTGTTTTTGTTTTTGTTTTTTTTTTAAACATAATTGATATCTACATTGTATTTTTGTTGCAGTTTCTGTTTTTATTTGCAGTTTTTGTGTGAACAAGTGTTGAAATGACTTTTTATTTTTTATTTTCAAAACCGTTGATTGTTTATATAAATACTGTATAACTGAATAAATATTACAAAATCAAGTTTGGTGTAGTGGTTTGTGAGTGAGCCTTCCTCCTTTGAGGGTCAAGGTTCAAGTCCATTCAATGACACAAAATCTTTTTTTTTAGATATGGACATGTGTCATAATATGCTTACCTTAGAAGGAGTGGCATTGTGTGTAATTTTGATATTTTTTAGTGATATTTTTGTAAAATTAGGTGCCTCATTTGGTCTTTGGCCTTATGCTAATTAGATGAAATTGTATTCTTATCTTCCAAACTAGTAAACTATATTGTGTTTTAAAACTAAAGCTCCCTAGATTAATTTAGAGTTTTTAGAGACTATCACTTGTATTAAAAAAAAAATTATTAAAAGGCATATTAAGTTTGGAGGATTTGGTGTGACTATTCTACACATTGACACATTAATATTTAGAGCATCTCCAAGCTAGATGTCAAATACCAAACATCAAATTTAAATTTGATGACTGATGTGACAGTTTGACATCTTACATAGTTTTACACTCTACGCGATATGTCAAATTAAATTATTATTTTATTACAATTTAGTGTTTTATTTATTTATTACTTCTTCTTCAGACTCTGAATCAACAAGATTCCAAAAGTTCTCATATAGAGAATCGGAAAGTGATGAGACATGTTGGGGTTCTTCACAATGCACTATAAAAGAAAAGGAAAATTTTTGGTATAAAAGAGGAATTGTGTTTGAGGACAAGTTCATTTTTGTTTTGTTTTTTGAAGAGATTTATTTATATATATATATAATTAATGTACAATAGGAGGAAAAGGGTTGTGCATTTAAAAATAGTTGTTTAACCGGAAAAAAGTTGGAAAGAGGAAGAAGAAAAAAATTTGTAATGGTCAAATCATTCAAGATAAAGAGGAAAAAATATAACAAGAAAATAATAAATGAAAGAAGATAAGTGAAGTAACAGCCAATTGTTTTAAAATAATAATAATAATTCCACGCGTTGCTTTTGCAAGATCAAAAGTAACGACGGGAGGTTCAATTAGCTTTGACAATTCGATTGGAGTAATGTGAGATATTATTTATAGCCGTTAAATGTTTATATGACACTTTTAACACATCGATTAGAAATGCTCTTAGTATTTACTGAAGTTTTATACTCAAATATAAAGTATAGTGTGGAAATATTGATTGCCCTAAAGCGCCATGCATTTATTTTGAAATATAAAATAATAGAGGGGAAAATTTTGCTGGGGCCCAACAATTTTCGTTTGAAGGTGAACTATCCATTTTGGCCCAATATGAAATTATACCAGTGAGATTTTACAGAGGTCGTATTTGAGACTTGGGAAACAATTTGCTGCACATGAAGAGGCTCGTAGGCAACTCAAATTTCCGGCATGATATTGAGTAGAAATCAAGATCAAATTTCCTTCACTGGAAACAATCTACACTCGAGCTTGATGGAAACCCATCCCTAAAGAATTCACGGAGAAAATATCGTCTCTTCAGTGGAATGTTGTTCTCTACAATTAACAACCTTATGTTTGTGTGTGTGTGTGTGTATATATAATTAATGTTTTTTTTTCGTTTTTCTGCGTTTCCTTGGTACTTTGGCTGGTATCCAAGTTCAAACAGAGAATATACGACAGAGTAAAGAAGTAATAAAGAAGATGATTCAGAAAAGGGAAAATGCTTCATATGGTTCGAGATTGGTTGAGCCCAATTATAGTTCTTGTGCACTGCTTTATTCTGTTTGCTTGCTGAGAAACTGGGAACGTATCTGGATTCTATAATATTTTGGCTATTAAAGAATATAGATGGAAATCTGTAGACAGAGAAAAAGAACAAAGAAGATAGAAAACCTTTCGATTGAGGAATTGTAAAATGAGCAACTTTATTAGGCTAAATTACATTTTTGATCTTCATAGTATGACTCATTTTTCGTTTTAGTCTTCATCATTTTAATTTGATAATTTAATTTAGTTATGTAATTTTCTTTAGGTAGCAATCAAGTCCAACAACTGTAAATTTGTAAGAAAAATGGACGAAACTATCACGTTTTGGGTTGATTGCAAATATTTTGTAGAGATAAAGTTTCCTTTACATGTTGTAGCTGCATATTGCGCATCGAATTTCAAGAAGTACTAGACATATTTACGATTTGGACTATATTGCAAGCCAAATGAAACTAAATGACTCCAAATGCTAAAACTGAAAGTATATAGGGACTAAAGTGAAAAATTAGTCACACTATGGTGACAAAAAAATGTAACTAAGCCAATTTATTATAGGAAGGTGAAGATGATATGTTTCTTGAGTGTATATTTGGACTTAATAGTCTTTTTCTTTCTTACATGGCCTTGTTTTCTTCATAAAGC